ACAAATCAGATTCAGTTTTATTCTTTTTGTCTACAATTTGATGATTGCATTTTCTCAAAAGAATATAGGAAATTACCCGGGAAAATGCTTTTGAACAAACGAAAAAGAAACCGAGGTTAAAATTTTACCCTGGGTAACAACAACTGGTCCCAGGGCCTTTGTGGTGTCACATACCATGCATATTAGTACGCAGAACAGGGGCATCCCAAGAATGTGGACAGAGTCTGGAAAAAGTTCGCTATACAGTAAACTGTTTATAAAGTGCCGCTGACCAAAATAGTCTGCGGGGTCGCTTTTGGTCGCCCGCAACTAGTCATCCGTGTGGGCAGGCCCTCTTGATCATCCTCTAGTAGATAACAAGCGTACGGTTAATGATGTACACTGTACTTACCATTTGTTACTGTTGCCTCTAATGTAGGAAGAAAGCAAGAACTGGGTTACCAAAGAAAACTTAGAGGAGAAAATTGCCCATTGTTTGGAACATGAAACAAACCACAACTTTGCTCTTTCTCCAACGGGAGAAAGAATTTATTCAGCTTCTCCACCAGGCAGTGTAGACACTGATGAGAATGGCCCTGGGCCTGCTGCTTATTTGACAACAGGATTGAAACCTGCAGTAGAGCACTCAACTTAATCACTTTGGATTTGGACTTTTTTAAGAGCCTGGTCGCCATACAGTCATTGTCCAGATTGTTTCAATCACCTCGATATTGGGGAACAATAATTTTGAGACATCAAGATGATACAGACGATAAATGAAGAGCAGGCTCCTCAGCTATTGAAGATCAGGTCGGAGTCATGAGAAGTAGGGTGTAGTGTAGTGATGGTCTGGTATGATTCATACCTTGTAAATCCCACAAAGAAAAACATTCTGTCATCTTCCTCTCTTTAACTCATTTTAGAAGGCTCAGAAGAATCTGAAAATATGCAATCTTTAAAACAAACTATTGCAAGTTTCATGTATTTGTATATAAATGACTCTGTTATGGATTGAAATGATGAATTGTTTCAAGACTCCATCCCCAGCCCCACGCGGTTTTCGTGCACCTTTCTCGATCCGCTTTCCTTACTATATTGCGACCTGGGACAGGCTAATCAGAAACGGCGAAATATTTTGAATGAACAATACAGTGGAATCCCGCTCTACGAACACTTGTAGATAACGGATAATTTCGTTTGTTGCGACGGAAAGCTCATGTATTTTCTTTAAATTTAACCCGCGCAATACGGACACCAGTTAATACGGACAACGGACACTTCTCTGTGTCTCGAGTTACAAACTTCTATATACCCCACTTTCGGCGGAAGCTGGTTACCGGAGCACTGTCTATCTTCCTTGTCACAACCATGTTCCTATTGTAGACTTTGTACTCAGTTAAAATGAGCACAGATTTCAATGAGTTAATATGATTTTATCACTACAAAACAGTAGCAAAATATCGTGACATGTCTGAAGTCCGTCTTACTTCCCATGTTTGACCCTTGTACTGAAGCCCTTTAACAAAGTTTCAAAACGTTTCTCCCTCCTACACAAGTTTAATTTTCTTGGCTTTATGCTGCAGTTTTTGGTCCTTCCCTTCTCCCACCTTGTTTTATTTAGTAATCACAAGTCCGTAGCGTTTTTCTGAGAGCCTGTCTATGCGGTCACCCGGATAATACTACATCGCCTAGTCGCCAAGGCCTCATTGTTCCGCGCGGCCTACGCGCGGCCAACAGGCTAGTTCTTCTCAGATACGTCACCCAATTGCGTCGAAAAGGCCTGGAAAGAGGCCGCGCAGGTATTAGGCAAGATAATAAGGACACTATGGCAAGTCCCCTTGGTGTTCGTTAACCTGGTTCCACTGTAAATTGAGATATACACACTGTAATACTGTAAGCTGCGTTGTAAACTTTCATACACAAATGAGTTTTAGCCAATCAGAGGAGCGAAGGATGTTATTCACATCAGAAGAAAAATAGCTCCTCCAATCACAATCGAGAACAAAATTTTTTTGCGTGTGGAAACTAGTTCGTCCAATTAGACGCGGCAGCGGTGCCTGAGTTCCGCGGCCAAGTTTAATTTCCTAACTTTTGTTGCTTGTAGCGCCCTCACTTTTCTGGTTCCTTCGCGGTCATTCCACGGCAATTTGACAAAAGGAGTTTCTTTTTCTCGTAAGAAAGTGAACAACTGTCTGGAAAATTGAAAAGAATATCTTTGTATATGTATTGCCATAAATTAAAGTTGTAGATTGCCTGAAAAACAACATTTTAAAGGAAAAAACGAGATTAAAGCTAAGTTTTGAAACTTTACGTCATTTTCCTCGTCACTATGATGTTTAGCGGAAAATTCTCATATCTTTTGGATCTGTTGGAAAAATCCAAATAAATAATCTTGTACGTCAACAACTATTGTGGGTCAGTTATGAAGTTCTCTATGTGTTAAAATCTCGGGCGTTTTATCAAGATATGACCCTGGAACTCCTTATTTTAGAACGTTCGCATAGTCTTTATTAAACACCACCAATATCAGTGACTGAATTACCCGAAAACCGTTTGAATACCTAAAAGCCCAAATATCAATAAACACAACAGCGGAAGTCACGATAAATTACAGGCATTATATTTGTGAATTCGACTCTGGTCTGCTTTCCTCAACCGCCGTTTGTGTTTATTGTGACTTCTGCTGTTGCGTTTAATGTTATTTAGGCCGTATTCAAACGGGTTTCAGGTAATTCAGTCACTAAATTAGAATCGGTGGTGTTTAATAATGCCTTTAATTCAGCGCAGGGCGGATTTATCCGCCCTGATTCTGATCAGCGTTTTGAGAAACACCTTTTTTGCGCAAGTAACTTCGCAAGGCTAAAATAATCGAGCTTCGGCATTTTGTGACAAAAACGATTACTTTCCCTTCAAGGCGTCATATGTCTTATTATTTCTGAATCCTCTTTGCCGCTTAAATTTGTTAGTGCTGATATAGTATTTCGATAGGGCAGTATCCACTTATTTAGCATACCAAAATGTTTTATTGTCGGACACGACACAAAAAAGGTATCAATTATCTTTTCTGGTGTTACTGATATTATTGTATGGAGGAAATTAATTATTCTCATATGATATATAGCACGAATCAGATTGCCTTTAGGCGGAAAATTGTCTTGACAATTGACATTGTGCAAATCAGAATCGTAAAAAGAAAAGCACACAAATGTCAATACTGCTACGGTTTCTGTCAGATTAAGGAATATTTGTCACTCATACTAATATAGGATTTTATTAACCTGCACGTGAAAAACCGTACATGGAAAGGAGAATGAAATAACCAGTTTATGGAAGTGAAGGGTTAACAAGAATTCCTCTATTTCTGTCTTGAAATCTAAAATCTAAAGGAATAGGTTTGGCGTTTATTTGTAGCATAACAAATTAAAATTCTGATAGCAGCTGTATTTATTTTGCGGTGGCAAAACTGCTTGTAATAAATTCATCAGGTTCATTTTAAAACATGAGCGAGTTTCCCACAAAACTGAACGATATAAGACTGAAGTGGAGTGTAGAAAGTTTTTGTTTTATCAGCTAGTAGGTAATTTTGTAACTCGCCTGTGTATTTCAGCCACTGCCACATCTTGCTTCTAGTTTAAAGCTCGTCCAGCTAATTTGTAGTGAGCTAGATTATATTTTATAGAAAAGCAATAGACAGTATTAGCAATTACTTAAAAATTTACTAAAATAGTTTCATAATGAAAGAGACAAACAACGCCTATGGAAAGATTCAAGAAATGAAAGTTTTAAGTTACCGCGAAATGATGTTTGTCCCTTTACATCATAAATCTTCAATTTACAGTTTTCTTCAGAATTAAGGAAAGTGCGGGATAGTGAACTGAACCTCTTTAATCAAATTGTGAAAATGCTTTGTTAATTCGCAATGGATATAACGCCAACAAAATGTGCTCAGGATGTAGCACTAAAAACGGTGTGTTCAAGCTCAGCAATTTAGTTCATTTTGTAATGGCTTCATATTCACGGTTTGATTTGGTAATGTTGTTTTTTATTCGTCACTCCCCAGTTGCCCAGTACTTGCTAATCACGCAAAAAGGAGAAAATATGAAGTTTGTAAACATAACGACAGCATGGATATATGTTGCTTTTTTATCGACGATTTGCCACTTGTCTCTTGGAGCAAACTACCAAGGTAAGGCTGTGCAAATTAAACGACATAGCAGGTCTGTGATCTGTTCGGAAGACGCCAGATTTGAGGTCTAGAATTTTCGGGACATTTGTGGTAAAATTTCTTGCTTGCCGGCCTCTCCTTTTTCGAACATCTGAAAAATGGTATAATTGCCCATTTTTAGGGGATTTTTACCCTAAAAAGGTCACCTAAAATTTTCGGGAGCGGTTTGTCTGGCCGAAATTTCCTAAAAGGTAAGAGTTGATCGCTATAATTTTCGGATCACTAGGCTTTCAGCTAGGAAATCCGAACAGATGAAAAATTTTTAGGGGATAAAAATATGCCTATATCTACTGTTAAATACTAAAATACGTTTAACAATGCTATGTTTAAGTGGTTTTGAACTATATTCTCGTTGGGTGCCCCTGTTGTAAAATAATTCGCTTGACCGTGTCAGCTCAGTCCTGATTAAATTACGCTTTCATTGCTTTAACCGACAACAACCAACCCGATCACTTAAGAGGAGCCGCGCACAAATATCCCAATCTGTTTTTCAGTCTTCTTTTGTTTTGGCCGGGAGAATAATTTGATTCGCTTGAGCCGGTAATCCGCGGACAGCATTGAACCTCGCTCTTGAAATCGTTTCCAACGCGAATGTTGACTTTTGTCTTTGAAAGTCAACTTCAATATTACTCAATAAATGGGGAACCCAACGAGGATATAGTTCAGAACCACTTAACATAGCATTGTTGAACGTATTTTAGTATTTAAACGGTAGATATAGGCATATTTTTATCCCCTTAAAACTTTTCATCTGTTCGGATTTCCTAGCTGAAAGTAGCTGAAAGTCTAGTGATCCGAAAATTATAGGGATCAAAACTTACCTTTTCGAAAATTTCAGCCAGGAAACGGCTTCCGAAAATTCTAGGTGGCCTTTTTTAGGGTAAATATCCGTTTAAAATGGGTAATTATACCATTTTGTAGATGTTCGAAAATCCTAGGAGAGGCAGGAAAGCAAGAAATTTTACAACAAATATTCCGAAAATTCTAGTTCTAAGATCGTCTTCCGAACAGATATTTTCCCGANATATTACTCAATAAATGGGGAACCCAACGAGGATATAGTTCAGAACCACTTAACATAGCATTGTTGAACGTATTTTAGTATTTAAACGGTAGATATAGGCATATTTTTATCCCCTTAAAACTTTTCATCTGTTCGGATTTCCTACCTGAAAGTAGCTGAAAGTCTAGTGATCCGAAAATTATAGGGATCAAAACTTACCTTTTCGAAAATTTCAGCCAGGAAACGGCTTCCGAAAATTCTAGGTGGCCTTTTTTAGGGTAAATATCCGTTTAAAATGGGTAATTATACCATTTTGTAGATGTTCGAAAATCCTAGGAGAGGCAGGAAAGCAAGAAATTTTACAACAAATATTCCGAAAATTCTAGTTCTAAGATCGTCTTCCGAACAGATATTTTCCCGAAAATTGCCGTTGGGTGCCCCTGTTAAATAGGCCGGGTTTTGTTTGCAGGGGAGCCACTGCACGATGTTAGTGATTATCACCACCATTTCAATTTTATTTAGTAATGGAAGTAACAAAATTCACAACCAAGAAGCTGGTTACAATTCACTAAGAATATAATATACTTGGCCAAATCAAGAGAGGAGAAGCTTCATATTCTTTCGACTTAAATGTATCCTATAATAAGAAGAACAATAAATTGATGAGTAAAAATATCAAAAGCCAAATATAATAAATAAATAAAAATCTATCGTGGGTCACATTAACGCCAAAGAATCAAAAGTCAATTGATAAACAGAAGCGCAGGCATGGAAGCAAAAGGGAAATAGCTTAAGCTGAAAATGTGCAGTTGCCTAGTACGTAACTCTACGTATGTAACTAATTGTTTCCCAGTTTTAATTCTCAAACCAAAATGCAGCGTTTGCTCAGTAGTTCTCACACACGAACTAGCAAAAGCGGTTAAAATGCTCCTATAGAACTTGGTCTTACGACGTTTACCTCATCAAACCGATAAAAACTGAATCGCAAACGGTGAAACCAAGTCAAGTGCTTGGTAACGATAATTTGGAGTGGGTTGGACTGAAACTTATTGACTGTACTCACGTCTGAAACATTCCTAACCACACCCCTGCAAATATAAATTCTGTCTTCAGACTACAGACTTTAAACTCAGGACTTCAGACCTCAGATTTAGAAACAGTTACAAAAGGGTTTTTTGTTTCCTGTGGGGACCAATTTCCTTGTCTAGCGTAACTCAGTATCACAATATGAACCAGGGCGGTTAAAGGTTATCCGCACAGATAGTAACATCTCTCGCTACGTTTTCGTTGCACTAGGATTGTTGCGTATAGGGGTATAATCATGTAGTTCCTCTCAAAGCTTCTTGGCAATAAAAGAGTGTACTTAGCAAGTGAAAAAAAAAAACCGAGGCTTGGGATTTTGCTGTTGTTTAGTCGACGCCTTAAAAAGGTCACTTAATTGCCTTCTCATCACAGTGTTGTCTAATTAAGAAAATATTGGCTTACATGAAGTCGAGTTTCTGTGCATTCCAGTGGAAGCCCGCTGCAAAGGCAGACGTATTTCCAGCTGTTGCTTCCCGCAAAGCTCGACAAAGGTCTGCAGTCTGAGGCACCTCTTCGGCTTTAGTACAATAATTATAGATAATTATAGCTCTGTTTTTTATTGTTTGCTTGTTTACCCATTTGAACAGATCAAGGCAATCGAACTTCCCTCCACACAGACGGTGACATCGTTCTCGGAGGTTTATTCCCTGTCCACCGTCGCAGTGACAAGACTGAAAACGCGTGTGGGGAAATAGACCGACATCCGGGTTACCAGTACCTCGCATCCATGTTATTTGCTTTGGAGGAAATCAACAATGATTCCACCATCCTTCCAGGTATAAAACTGGGTGCTAACATATACGACACATGTAGAAGTCAAACAATTGGTTCTGATGGCGCTAAAGAGATCATCAAGTACGCACTTCGAGAAGAAAACGGGACTCCACCGTTGTCTGGCGTAATTGGCCCATTTCGGAGCGATGTGTCAGTCGCTGTTGCTAATATGTTTCGGGTGTTTAACATTCCTCAAGTAAGTTATGGTTCGACCACTCCAGTTCTCAGCGATAAAGAAATCTATGGGTATTTTTTACGAACTGTGCCATCAAACTCGTACCAAGGTAAGGCAATGGTGGATGTCGTTCTCTATTTTGGATGGAGCTATGTGATGACTGTATATTCTCCTGGGCAGTACGGAGAAAAAGGAATGGAGAAATTTTACGAGGAGGCGGAGCGTGCGGGACTATGTATTGCAAACAAGAAAAAACTTCCCGCCTTCCCAACTGAAGGGGATTACTTAAAAACCATCCAGGAACTTCAACAAACAAGAAAAGCAAATTCAAATGGCAAAGTAGATGTCGTTGTGTTATTCTGTATTCAGCGAGATAACCGAGGGCTAGTTCAAGCAGCAAATAAAGTTCTGAAAAATGGGGAAAAATTTTACTGGCTTGCAAGCAATTCTTGGGGAGATAGAAAAGAAGTTACCGACGGAGCCGAAGAGGCAGGAGATGGTGCCATCACAATAAACTACATTGAAGGAAAAGTCAATCGTTTCAAAGAGTACTTCTTAAACTTGAAACCGTCCAACAATAAATACGGTCCATGGTTTGATGAATTTTTTCAAGAAACTCTAAAGTGCAAGCTTGTAAACTCGTCTAGGCCACTTAATTACTCGCGAGAATGTCGCCTAAACGACTCTCTACCTCAAGATCTGGACATTGCGCCTGTTCGGGTTGTAATGAATGCCGTTTACGCTGTGACACATGCACTTAACAATATGCATAGAGAATTGTGCTCTGGGAAGTCTGGCCTATGCGCAGAGATGAAACACCTTAAACGAGAAAAGTTCTTGATATATTTAAAAAACGTAACTTTTCAGGACGCGTCGCTTAGTTCCAAAGTAACATTCAACCAAAATGGCGATGTGGATGGTGACTACAACATACTGAATTTTAAAAAGATAGAGGAAAAGTTTCGGCACGTAGTTGTGGGCAATTGGAGTGGTGCGCTAAGTAAAGATGGAAACATCAAGGGACATATAAACTTGGATGAAAGACAGATACTGTGGGGTGTCGGAAAAATTAAAACACCGCAATCATATTGTAGCAAACTATGTTCTTCTAAACAGATCACAGTTCCAGAGCTTGTGAATGCACGCTGCTGTTGGCGATGTGAAAGCTGCCAGTCCAATGATATCATTACAAACAACACTTGCTCTGTATGCAGTCCGGGAAGCATCCCAAGTCAGAATCTTACTGTATGCGTCCAACTACCAGTTATTTTCCCATCTTGGTCTGATATCCGCGCTAAAGTTTTAACTGCAGTTGCGTCAGTTGGTATTGTCAGCAGCATTACTACTGCTTTGTTTTTTTTTATGAATAGACGCCATCGCGTCATAAAAGCATCTGGAAGAGAACTGACTGGCATCTTGTTTATGGGAGTTGTGTCATGTTATGTTTCGGTACTGGTACACTTTATGAAACCTACAAACACATTATGCGGGGTGCGGCGTTTCGCAGACAGCGTGTCGATGACCATGTGTTACGCTCCGGTGCTGTTGAGGACAAATCGTATCTATCGCATATTTAAGGCTGCGCAGAAGTCAGTTCGCCGGCCTTCTTTCGTAAGCCCGATATCACAAATGTTGGTGGCGATTGGTATTACAGGAGTGCAGTGTCTCATAACTATGATTTGGGTTCTATCCAAACCACCTAATGCCGTGAACTCCTATTCTCATAAGGAGTACGTGATCCTTGAATGTAGTACAGACGACTTCAACGTAGCGATCAACTTGTGTTTCAACGCCATTTTGATGTTTGTCTCCACAGTGTTCGCATTTCGAACTCGGAACTTTCCAAGGAATTTTAACGAAGCAAAATATATCGGAGTTACGATGTATTTGTCGTGTTCGGTGTGGGTGATATTTCTACCTTGTTACCTGAATGCTGCTAATAGTATTTACAAATCGTACTTCTTGTGTAGTTCTTTATTTCTTATTGGAACTATAACTCTTCTTGGTCTTCTGGTACCGAAAATATTCCTTGTTTATTTTGGAAACACTGCGATAGGTCCGGCCGGTGATACACTGACGGGTACTTTCACTGGACATCAAGGCAGAAGTGAGCAAAGCCAACATGGTCAAGAGCCAACATCCGGTAATAAATATAAAATGGAAAACACTGCGTCCAGCTTAACTTAAATAAAGGAGCGCAGAACGGAAAATGGCCTTGATAGCTGGCTTTTTCACAACCAAACAAAGCTAAAAAATGAATGTAAAATTACAATTCGCCTCATAGTTCAGTCGTAGTCTTCCACGCAGCCTTCCATCGACGTTCAAGTCGAATAATTGTCACCCAAGTTGCTCAGCGGAGATACTATTTTGAGGCGTTCATGTAACTCTGTTTTGTCTAAATGCAAAAAACTAAGTAATCTAATTCACCAAAACGCTTAACGAAAAGTTGTATAATGTATATTGATGACTACAAGGAAATTCATACTATAATTTTGTTCTGAGGAATTTAGCTCGAGGAGAAACACCTTGGCCGTCCATCTTTTTGCCATAATCCGGGAGAGCTGTATCACAGTTTAAAAGTCTGTAACACTGTTTTTACCCGTGAATAAAAGCCAAGGAACTCTTGAAAGTTCTTTTAAAATGTGGACCCTCAAGAATTCTACCAAAGGAAAAGCGAAATTTAACAAGTAAACCAAACAAAATAGAGTGGAGACAACCACGGAAATTACAGGCAATTTTACCGAGGCTATCGCTAACAAGCGGCGAAGAATGTTCCCAGGGGGAAGCGTATCAAAGAAAAGAAAAAAGTGAAGAAAAAAGTGACGCACAAAATAACCCAGTCATCTTCTTCTGTTTTATTTCACCTCAAAAAGCACGACCTGAAATGGTTAACACTTCATACACATTTGGAATTGGTCAGTGCGTAAGAATAGGATTGTAGTATTCACTTTAGCTGATTACGATTATAAAAGCGTGGAAAACACCACATGAACAAGTAAAATGTTACTGGCTTGACTTTGTATCTTTGACTGACTGTTCATCAACCTGCTGCAATCTACTTTCTTTCTCCAGTAAGTTGACGATGTCTTGAATTTGTTTCGGAGTAAGGTCAACATCTTCCATTGACAACAACTCTACAACCTTCAAAAAGACCACATTGCATACAATGTCGTAAAAAGACCTTGAAAAAGTAAGAACTTAGCAGTAAACCTTTTTTATATATATAACTAATTCACATAGTATTACATTGTAAGTATCAAAAATTAAATTTCTTAGAGTGTCAGAACTTAGTTCTGTTCTCAAGGAGACAGCGTCAAATCTGTTAGCGCCCTTTTACTTTGTTGTCACCAGTTTTTTTTTTGAAAAGCAAATTGACTTATTTTAAACAAACAATTAAACACATAAAGATGGGGGGAATAGCTACATAACACTACCAAAGTACAGTAACTGTCATTTATTCGCTGTTCCATTTTATAGTTTTCTGTCTTAAAGAATACAATGCGTACACTGTTGTATTGGGAACCACCCCCTCCCCGCCCCCCACCTCTCCGGTGTAATGTTGAGGGTTCCCGTTTGTTCCCGGTAACACATCCTATTAAGAGAGAATGCCTAAACTTGTCACGCTATCTATGAATTCTGGGTGGGAACGGTTCTCCATAATAATCCATACTTTCATGCAGAATCAGTCAGCACCATCAACTTTACATTACATGATTTTCAGCACTAACCATTTCCACATCATCCAAATCAAGCGTGCCATCATGATCCTGGTCAAGCATTTCAGCTATTTTCTGACACTTAGCTTCACTAGGAGCGTTCTTTAATCTACGGACAGCGGATATCATCTCCTGCAAGCTAATCTTACCATCACTGTAAGAAGAAATGAACAATCAAAAATGAATATCATCCTGCTTTAAATTTAGAACCTTATTAACTAATAGATCAAAAGGATTCCACTTAAAGTTAACCTGAGATCAGGCCCAATTTTAGCGGTTCTAATACATTCTCTCTAACAGCTACTGCTAAAATCTCTTTTCATTTCGCCTTGCCCGCCGGGATGTAATTTTCAAACCGAAACGAAAATAGAGCCTGATCTCAGGTTAACTTAAGTATGTTTGACAACTTAACTGTGGCTACTGTGAGAACTGTCTACGTCACTAAAGGACTGGTCAGTTAGTACAGCAGGTAGGCCCGGGTACGGGTTCGCGTCTTTAGTTAGGGATAAGTTATAATTTTCCAAGCCTTAACCAAGCCTTGGATATTAGGGACTTTAAGCAACGACTACGGAAGGGTCTAATACGGTGACCGGAAGTATCTTTTTCCCGCCACGCGTCAATGACTCAAGTATAAGGTGCCACGACGGCGACAGCGGTCAAAACGTCCCTTTTTAGTAAAAAGTTGATTCGCATTCTTTCAAACTTTTTCGCAATTATTCCAAGTCGCTTATTTTGTCAAATGTAGGCAAACTCATAGAGGAAAAAAGTTCGTCTTCGTTAGTTTACCTCCTCAATAAAACGTGAAATTAGGCATTTTCAAGTAGTGGTCGTGCAGTGATGGCAAAGAAATGTTGATAAAACAATATGAGGCACATGCAAAGTTGTTGACTTGCTAATTTTAAAACTTATTGACTGGCCGTACTGCGTTTCCCGAATACGTAGAAAATCATAGCGGGACGTACAGTCTAGTACGTACAGTATTTAGTTGTATTTTACGTGCTTAGAACGCCAGTGTATAGTTGAAACAGAATGGCAAGATATTCGCATTTTATCCTTTTTTGATCTTCCTTGGAAATTTCTGAAGGCTCATTTTTCGATTATGAGCACCAAATTTCGGCGTCAAACACGACACCCAAGTGAGAAATACAGCGAAATACGCAAAATATAGTTGACGGGAAAGAAGATATTTCATAAGGGATATCATATCACCAAGTGGAGGTGTGAATAAGTCTGATAAAACACAAGCAAGCCCTGGATTTGCCCATGCATCGCCCTTTTTTATGAATGTTTTTTTTTTAACATTCCTTGCCGTGGGGGGTCACTGCACGGCTTCAACCTCAGGAGAGTTCGCCAATATTTGTACAAAGTAAGCAAGTTGGAATAATCACGATAAGGAATGAAAGAACGAGAATACACTTTTAAGCGACCTTTTCACCGCTATAGCCAAGCCGTCTTGGTATCTTAAACTCCCTGACTTGAGGCATTGACGGGTGGCGAAAAAAAAATTGCTTCCGGTCACCGTGTCCGTACTAGAACCTGTTGAACTTTCCGTAGTCTTTGCTTAAAGCACAGGGTCCAGAGGAGTTTCGTGTGAATAAATGAATTACTTATTTAAAGTCTCACCTTGAAAAATGTCTATACTTGTCGCTTAGCACGATTAATTAGCCCAATGGGATCTTTATAAACCTACTGTAAACGATTTCTTCGCTTCTTATTTGACCCAGATCGACTTTTGAAAATCAAATAACCGCAAGCCATATCCTCGCTGGCGCACGGCACGTCGCCCGAAGTGCCGAGTAAAAGAAAGGACAAGGGAGGAAACTTGCACCACGTGACTTCGTTCGCTGTGAACCGCATCACTCGTTGACGGAAGTGAATGAGACCGGAAACGCAAAAGCAACAGATCGCGCTGCTAATTCGAGAATCAAAACATCAGCTGCGGAGGGAGTTTTAAAGATCTCAGAGATCTATGCGAAGGCAACAGAGTTTTCATTGAAGTGAAGATCTTTCAAGACTGGACATTTGTTGTACGTGTCAACAGTCGTCGATGTCTTAAGCAGGTTTTGCTTGTGCGAAGGCTTCCCAGTAGTCGCAAAACGCACAGCCAAAGACGCAAGAGGTAATATAGTTGGGACCACCGAAGAATGGCACAGTCGTGATGATATTACAGTTGCCTTGTACGTCCGCTCTACTCAGTGTCACGTTTCATTGCAAGAGTACACACGACCTTAAATCACTATCCGTAATAATTTTTAAACATTCTCGAAACAAAACTGTAAGCCGATCTTGCGACCCTCAGTCTCTTGGTTTGCGGTCTATAGAATGTGTAACGAGAATATAACCCATTTTTTTCAGAGGTTTTCGACGGGTTTTGATGTTCTAACGACAAACCCATCTCCTCTGGACCCTGTGCTTAAAGTCCCTATTAATACTCTTCTGGAGACTTCTGTAAACTTGTGGGGAATATAAATCATCATTAAATCTCTGCAACATGGGACAATGGGCATAAAAACCAAACAGAAAAAGCTCCTACTGGCTCAAATCAACACGGGATCTCATCCCCTCAGATGTCACTGTACCCAGGGTGCCAGAGACTTTTCTAGCGCGGTTTCCGGTTTCTNTGAATTACTTATTTAAAGTCTCACCTTGAAAAATGTCTATACCTGTCGCTTAGCACGATTAATTAGCCCAATGGGATCTTTATAAACCTACTGTAAACGATTTCTTTGCTTCTTATTTGACCCAGATCGACTTTTGAAAATCAAATAACCGCAAGCCATATCCTCGCTGGCGCACGGCACGTCGCCCGAAGTGCCGAGTAAAAGAAAGGACAAGGGAGGAAACTTGCACCACGTGACTTCGTTCGCTGTGAACCGCATCACTCGTTGACGGAAGTGAATGAGACCGGAAACGCAAAAGCAACAGATCGCGCTGCTAATGCGAGAATCAAAACATCAGCTGCGGAGGGAGTTTTAAAGATCTCAGAGATCTTTGCGAAGGCAACAGAGTTTTCATTGAAGTGAAGATCTTTCAAGACTGGACATTTGTTGTACGTGTCAACAGTCGTCGATGTCTTAAGCAGGTTTTGCTTGTGCGAAGGCTTCCCAGTAGTCGCAAAACGCACAGCCAAAGACGCAAGAGGTAATATAGTTGGGACCACCGAAGAATGGCACAGTCGTGATGATATTACAGTTGCCTTGTACGTCCGCTCTACTCAGTGTCACGTTTCATTGCAAGAGTACACACGACCTTAAATCACTATCCGTAATAATTTTTAAACATTCTCGAAACAAAACTGTAAGCCGATCTTGCGACCCTCAGTCTCTTGGTTTGCGGTCTATAGAATGTGTAACGAGAATATAACCCATTTTTTTCAGAGGTTTTCGACGGGTTTTGATGTTCTAACGACAAACCCATCTCCTCTGGACCCTGTGCTTAAAGTCCCTATTAATACTCTTCTGGAGACTTCTG